AATCTTCGCTGAAGTCCCCGTTATCAAACACCTACACCGTAGACAGGCGTCTGAGTCAAATCTTGCTTCAAATCAAATACAGTCAACGCACCAAAAGAAATTCTGAACCGTCCGGGTCATCGTCTGTCGCTTGGAGGGAGTGAGGAATACCAGCGGGGAAATACCACAAGTCGCCAGGGCCCTGATGAGCAATCAATGAGTGAAAGTGTATGAGCGTTTGTCTCCATGGAGCTTACCACAGTGGCTAGGTAATTACGACCTTGGGTGTCGACTGCCGAAACTTGAGTGGAGCCCTTAACCAAGGATCAGATATTTAATCGCAATAACATCGGGTCACATACCTTGAGAACGTAAGCCCACTTACGGCCAAAACATAAGATGTCAGTGATATGTTTCGACCATCAAACAAGCAGACAATACCTCGGCAGTTGTGTGCCAATGTAATTCACTAAGCGTTGCCCATCAATAAGCTATTCGGCCGCCTTGACGCGTAAACACCTACCGGATAGCCCCAGGTTCCAGCCGCATATTGACGCCAGCCATTTCTAATAAAGTGTATCAGATCGCAGTATTGTGCACAAGACCAACTTACCAGTGGCGAGAGGCATCACACCGACTGTCGCAGGGCCGTTAGTATCGAGGGAATACATGAGTATAAAAATAACCTACTATTTTCCTGGCGTGCCCAACCGCCCGTCTGCAAACGATTGTGACTAAATGACATGGGCCATTTCGCGTTCGCACTAGAAATGAAAGGGCGCCAGAATGAGACTGAATTCGATGACAATCATGGAACAACTTGCACAGTGCCGGAATCGGTGGTTGGGGGTGCGAGGAGATCAGGATTTTGCAAATCGATGGGCAAATTATCCGGGCCTATGACGGAAGCTCCCAGAGTGCCGCGTTCGGGCTTGACGAGAGATGGATCACTGTCCTCGCTCCACAGGGCCTCGTTAGGGTCCGTAGAGACGTACTCGACTGTCGCAGTAGACGACGCTGCAGACACAGTAGAGCTCGCCGCCACGGTCGCGTTGCCGGAAACTGTAGCGCTCGCTGAAGTTGGGGCGGAGGCGACGAGCTTGACGAGCCCTAGGATCAAAACAAAGGAGGAAGTCTTGAACATGGTCTACCGCGTAAGAGAACCCGATTGGGGTGGAAATCGAGATGGAGACTCCAAACTGTGACTAGTGATCTTATGTATCTCTGCATTGTCAAGGACGATGTCCAGTGGGAGAATTGTTCGGATGAGACTTCAGCCTGCATGGAACGATTAGGCGGCATATTACGCGTCAAAACGGTCGCAGACATAAGGTCACCCAATAGAATAAAGTCGCCGTGTCCATATTGATAACCTTTTCGAGGATCAACACATGCGGTGGGTCGCTCAGAAGGGGAAATATGGAGAAAAGATGAAAATTTTCGGTCTGGTGACGACGAGGGTAAAGGGCATCCAGACTAACGAAATCATCCGGGGAGGGTACTGAAAGGCAGACTCTGCAGGGAAGAATCGGGCGGAGTAAAGATGAGCGTTTTCAATGCTCAACAGACCGGGAAACAATGTTTACCTATCAATTGGCGAGTCAGAGGTCATCACAATTTAATCAGAAGCTCCCAATAGCCCGTTCTAAAAATGTAACAGTACCTGAAGGTTGTAATGAATCGGTAACATTGACGGCTACAGGAAGCCTTCAGTCGGAAGGCAATTGCTTGAAGATTTGGCGGTCTTTTAGTCATAGATTTGACCTGACAATTGGGCGAGCCGCTTGAGAAAACGTAAACCCTACCCCTTGTCATCAACCATAGACTTGACACTACACCCATTCGTGACTTGGGGATGCCGAAATTGAGGAGAAAAACTCATGAGAAAATCGGTCTAAGAAACGGTGAGAAAAAAGAAGTAATAGAAACTGCTGCGCCGTGTGAGGAATTCTAGGGGTGCGTACATGCGGAGGTTCGTTATCGTTACATCGAGAGTAGGCGCGAATGATACAGCGGAGCTATTAATAGACCGGCAACAGATGGACGCCTTGCTTACAGTCCTCGACTTAATCCAATGGCCTTTCCTTTAACCGAGCCTACTTCGCATCATGCACTGATAGCGCCGCTATAATGTATCTTTTCGTTCGAATTTTTACGGTAGATAAAGCAGGTCGTACTGCGCAGGGATGCAAGGTTGATGTTCGGAGGATCCAGATCATCATCGTCTATTTATACAACAGATGTGAAACAATAAGGGGGGATACTCATGGTAATGATAGTGTGCGTACCCAATAGCAGCCAATGGTGAGGGTCGCATGACACTTTAGTCTTTTTCTATACCATTTTGGGCCCCTTTCTTCCCTTCTTACACGTATGAACACCGTCAACAATTAAACGATTCCCTATAACGGAACTGACAAACATATGAGATGAGAAAGTTGTTTTTGCAATGCATTATTGCGCGACAGCAAAGTAGAATCCTTTACACTTTTGGATAGCACTCTTCTCGTCAGTCGAGGTCAGATTCCATGAGGCCTTTGATTCGGTGTCTGACCTTGACTGTCATTGGAATAGGGATTGCTGGGAGGCGGTGGGAGAGGAATTCAGTGAACAGGTCCCGAATAAATTCAGACATCAGATCATCACGAATTAAGGGAAATGAAGTACCAATTGATAAAATCATATGCCTTGATGAATCAGCACCAGCGCTTGAGCACGCGTGCAATCTGTATTGGCTTAGTACTGTTTTTTGTTTTTTTACCAACTGCAGTCGCCTTCAGGGTTGAAAGGATGACGACATCAGAGGGTCAGATTTGTTAGTAGAGGCGCGCTGCGACAAAACAACGTCGTCCAACCAAGAGGATTCTCCGAATGAAATGTGATCCACTCCTTGAATGGTGAGGTTGAGGCTGAACTTGAAGCGCTCAGTGTCGCGTCGGCGGAAGGAGTAGACAAATATAACAAGTCGTTTAGTAAACAAAGCGCACCTTGACCGGCCCGGTAAGTATGGTCGCTGAGCGCTCCACTCACGCTCCACGGACCAATTGACTGTCATTTTATTTTTACAGCTTTTTCGTCGCGGGCTCTCCGGCCTCCCGACGAGGAACTTGCCTTATTTTTCGATTTCATTTGTACTGATTTGGAACTTAAAGGCAGCCTCGGAAGAATACAGTATGAGATCTTCCGACAAACGGTTGTGAGTTTATCAGGATGTCATGAACCGTCAAGTGCCTTTCAAATTCTTCGCAGACGGGACTATTTGCCTCTGTAAAGGTCCAAAGGAAAATTGTATCTTAGTTCATCGGGACATCCGATCCAATAAATTGTATGGGAAATGTGTTGTATATCATCGTGTCTCCATGACCATGTTAAAAGCGCCCATCATATTACTCGATCTGTTCCCTACAGCTGGCCAAACTTAACAAGCATGTAAGGCAAAACGGCGAGGTGGACGTAACTGTTTTCAGGCTGAGATTCCAGCTACGGCGATCGCTTATGCATCGGATTCGAGGTTAGTCACCGACAGGCTTGTACGTATGCAAGTGATTCCAGACGGCGATCATTGCTGATGATCGTTCGCGTTTCCGTATTATCAAAGAAATCGTTTACACACGGAGAATAATTATAAAAGTTGAATGCCAGGTAGTAGAGCATCGGTAACGACGTGGGCTATCACTATTCAGTATTTCTTAGTATGTGTCAGTGACTCACTGGATGTAGTCCTTTGGAGTAGATTTTGATGCCAGCATTTGTACGGGCAACGATGTGCTGCAAAGAAAAGCCAGTGATAGCGGAAGTGGTTACGGCAGAAGGATACATACTATTTGCTTCCACATGCACAACTGTTACACGTCTCTTAGATGCGCACTCCTTCCCAAGTATTGACTGCATCCTTTAGCGCCCATCGGGGCCTCAACCTCGGCACGATTGCGCAGCTCAATACGTGACGGCATAGTTCTGAAGCCAGTTCATCTGGAGACGCACGGTACATTACCTACCATCAAGAAGCTGATGGATATAGCGCACTGGAACTCGAGAACCTGGTGTCACACAAGCAGAAAGTAGAGGAGAGTTTTCCAACGAAAGAATCGATACTCATGCTGGAAGTTGAGTTCGTAAAGATAACAGAGGAGACGGGCTACGGACCTGTGGTAGGAAAATGTCGCAAGGGTGTGAAAGCTCGCGATACCGTTTATTTCCATCAGAAGAGAAGTTAGAAAATGGGAGCTATGCTGAACGAGCATCCCCACGATCCACCGGATGTCGTCAAGGCGGGGAGCTCACATCTCGTCCCGATGTGGGCGTTTGTCTTGCGATGCTCCTTCGTACTCTTGGGGAGTACCAGACCATTCCTACGACGCATCCATTGACAGGGACGGTTGCACGGAGAATCGCCACCAACCATTGTTTGCCATATAACGTAATCCCCTCAGTCCTCAGACGCAAATGCAGCAGATTATGACGAAAGACGTTGCATCGCATTCGTCCGTAGCAGCGGAATTGTGCACCATGTGGATGTTCCTAGGTTATAGACAACAGGAGGTAATCTGAAAGAAGGTCGCAGATCAGTCGGGTGTGGGGATTATTGGTCGCATGTAATTGTTCTGGGCATGACAAGCCTTCATCTAGCACAAATGACGAAGAAATAAGGAAGGATATACCAGGAGGTGTTAAGGACGTTTCCAAATGAGCGCAATCGAAGATATGATACTCAGGCTCTTAAGATGTCTGGATGGCCGTATAACAGCGTTCCTCCAGATGTGTAGATGTGTAGGGAAAGCACGCGCAGCGAAGTCCTCAAGGAAATGTAGACTACAAGTCTCGATCTATTGGAGTGATGGGTATAGGAGGATATAGGGCCCTCAAATTCTCCACAAAACAAGATAACTCACCATGGACGGACGACATAGATGATGGTGGCTGGAAGAGTAAAATGCCAGTCACATGCCCACAGCCATGGGAGGGGTATGCTTACGGTTTAGTGACTACCTCTATAGCCTTTATAGCAGGCGACGTCATATGGGCACATGGTGTAGTTGGTTTATCACGCCCGCTTAGCATATCTGTTTGACTGCGGGAGGTGTTGGGTTCAATTCCCAATGTGTCCAATTCTTTTGTTAACCGAATATGAATTCTGAGTGTTGGATGATTTCGCCATTACTTTCTTGGGGAATCTTGTGTTATTTAGTATTGATTTTTTATCACTTTTACGCTAATAATTAGTCCTGAAATGTTGATTATGGTCCTTGCAATTCCGTTGTTAGTTTCGGAGTATGTCGGGGTTCACTTCGGCCCGATACGACTCGCTTACGATGCCTTTTCGCAGAGGTTTGTCTTGGTTTTAGGAGGGCGGAGACTTCCATTCTACCATGCTAGTTTACCATTGAATGCACTACAGGATTCAGGACCTTTAGATTCACACTGCAGAGATGTTTCGGCTACGCTGCCAATTATTTTCCGCGCAGTGGCGACCGATCGGTGAGTAACCTTCAAGGTTCTGTTAGCAGCACATCTTAGTTTGACCTACCAAAGCCAAATCGAATGGTATATGGAAAATTGGAACAATGCAGACCAGCTGTGGTGACACGCGTCGAGGACTTAAAAATCATTGTCGTTCGTTGCAGATGAGCTAGGTTCTGGGCCCTTCTTTTAAGCATCTGAAAGGTTAACTTTTACACCGAAAAATGGTTTGGTTCGTACTAGGGAGTGTGCACATCAAGATGGATGTTCATAGCCTGAATCGTCAAAATAAGGTGTTCGGTATCAATCTTATTCGAAGTGAAGTAGCTTATGGTGTGTAAGACCACGTTTTTCCCCACCTGAATACTCACCAATGAGAGAGGTTGCGGAGGTTGCCTTGTGGGGTTGATTAGCGCCCAGCTTGACTCTTCTGCCCGCAGTAGCTTTGCCTCGTTTCTTCCTTCGTACTCTCATGAACACCCTCAGGCAGTCCTTTCTTCCCCAGGAGCGCGGAGAAATACGAATTAGACACTACCCCCGCCGACTAGCAGCGAGCGCAGCGGAAGTCCTTCTGAACGAAGCATGCCTAGGAACATCCATTGTTCAAGCACGGGCAGGTAGTGATGTGGAATACCTTGCCATTGCGACGCCTGAGGAGGTCGCTATCATCTCACTCTCAGATAATTGCAGACTTTTCCCCAAGGACGAAGCTTTTCGGAACCTATTGTGCGCGAAGAAACCTATATTGGCTGGGTTTAATATGCCAAGAATTTCGATCCGCCTCTTTTGTCACTTGAGCTATCACGTTCAAGCTATCGACCTGTCTACCTTTCGCTCGAAAACTGCCAGCAATCCATATTATCCGGCGAAGCTCCTCTCTGAAACAATGGCTATGAAACTCGATGACAGTTTCACGGTTGACAGTCTGTGGAACGACAGATTGGACGAGGAAGAACATGAAATCATCCGGAAAGTTTGCCTTCGGGCGTGGATTTCTGCTATGTGAGATTTGCTATGTTTCTTCCTTCCGCTTACACTCACGCACAAGGCATAGTATTATCAAAAGGAACCTAAACAGTGTGCAGATAACCAAGCCAATCCAGACTCGATGTATGAAACCCGAGGTGAGCTACGCTTTACCTTCCTGAATCCCGTAGTGAATGAGACAATTGCGAAGGTCCTCAAATGTTTAGGTCGCCTGTTATCGGATGCCGATATTTTGCAGCGTGCCAAACCCACGGAGATCTCCAACGACTTCTCCGAAGCTAAAATGGACAGTAACGTCGGACGTCTGCACGTGCACAGCTCTCGTTTTAATACGCGCATACGCGCGAGTCCACAGGCACGTAACTCACGTCCCAAACTTACCCATTTTCTGATCTTGTAGCAATAGCTGGCAGTAATCTTGACCACATCCGATGGCCGCGAATTCAAAGGATCACCGAGAAAGTCGCATGGAAAACAAACCGAAATCAAAGTCTTTGGCAGCTTTTCCGGAACGGTGGCAAGCGTGAAAGTCAGAGGAAGGGAAGGAGGGACAAATACTGAGAGAGCTCGTGATGAACTTTTACTTCATGCTTTACAGGGCGATTGTCATCTCAGACATTCCAAATTCGTGAGGATGCTCTGGTTTCCAAACCAGCAAGACGAGGAGGATTGCGTTTCTGTACCTCCGATAGCACCCCTACTGGCCGGGAAGCTAAATGATTCGCAGAGAAAGGTGGTATCAGCTATGGTGTCGCCCCGGTCCCTGGTTGTAGTTCACGGTGAGAATCAATGTTGTACGAGCCTATATAATATGTTGACATAGGAATTTCATCAGGCCCACCTGGAACCGGTAAAACATCAACCATCTCCGCGGCGGCTATGATCTGGGGTCGGAAAAAGTCGTCAACGTGGATTGTAGCTCATTCAAACGTCGCTGTGAAGAACATTGCAGAGAAACTAGCATCGTCCAACGTTGACTTCAAGGATCATTGTATCCAAGGAATTTTACGTCGAATGGTAAGCGTGGGCCTCGCGCTTTGCTATCTATTCTCGTTGATTTCTCATTGGACAGGCACGAGCACCTCTACACCGAGATAGAGGATAGACTATTTCGTGGAGACGAGCTTCCGGATAATCCGAAGGACCTAGGAAATACCATCAGCGCATCGACCATCATCCTCTCGACACTAAGCATGCTCTCAAATCCAGCATTGGACAAAAATGGGATGTTCGACCTTGTTCCGCCGACGATCCTCGTGGTTGACGAGGCTTCTCAGATAAATGTCTTCGAGTATATGGTCGGTGTCAATTGACCTTGAGATCCAAAAATGACTGGACTTATCACAGCATATATTCTTCAAATTTCGGAACGTGATGGTCAAGGTATGCTTCTTTGGAGATCCAAAACAGCGTTAGAGTTCCTGCATATCTTGGCGTCAATACATATCTCACTTGTATTGCTTAGTACCGCCGTACGGGAAAGACAAAGTCCCCGTCGATGCAATGTATCTTCGACATTGAACATCTGAAGAATGAATCCTACTTCTTGAATATTCAATGTAAGCACCCTTAGCAGCGGATCCAGTAGCAGACATCTCATCTCTGCAGATCGCATGCCGCGTCCACTTGGCGAGTTCATTTCTCGAGAGGTCTACAATAATCGACTTCGTTCAGAGCATATGATAAAAGACCAATCCTGTGTCGCATTTATCGATACTAAAACAGGAACGGAGGAAAAGTCTGGTTTCAGTTGGAGGGTAGGCTACTTGTCCGCTTACCTCGGAGGGTGACAATTCACACATATTTGGTTTAGAACGACTCGGAGATCCGCACGATCGTCCATCTGGTCAAACTATATTACAAAGACCAGAATTTTTGCATTATCACCCCGTACGACGCGCAAAGAGCCGCCATAGAGAGAGAACTCAAGAACCAAAACCTTCCGTGGGAGCGGGTGTTCAATGTCGACAGCTTTCAAGGTAGTCGGCCATTACAGTGGATATACGAACTTTAAGCTTATGATATATGTACAGGAAACGAGGCAGACATCGTATTAGTTTCGGTCGTCCGTGGTCGGGAACCCGGATTCCTACGCTCTGACCAGCGAATGAACGTCATGCTTACACGATGCCGACGAGGTCTGGTTATTGTCTCGAGCCGCAGTTTCCTGTCCGGCCCTGGCGAATCAACTCTCGTCGGTAAACTGGCTCGGGGTAGAAACTGGACAGAATGGACGGCTGTCGCAGAACAGCGAGTAAACCTTCCCGACGCCAAGGGGAAACATACACCTCTTCATACCTCTCCTGCGACGTCTCCATTGAACGGGAAACGTCCTAATTTTGATGTTAAAGCACTCTTTCGACATCCAAGGCCTGATACTACTTCAGGACACTAGAACGTTCTCAGCCATGGCCGTTGGTCCCCATCTCTCAGAACATTTTCCGCCATTGTCTTCGAGCAGTATAGGAAATTCAAGAAAGCCAGAGAACACAACAGCTGGTTCTGCAGTTGGCATAGTAGATCCTACTACGAGGGTCCTACCGCGTTCTGCACCGTTGAATGCTACAGGATCGTCGCGACCAATGGGAGTGACAAGGTCACCAGCTCATTCATCTGAGGGCGACTGGACCGTCGCCGTAAGGAGGAGAAAGGTTAAGACATCTGGAAACGCGACCATGCCCAAGAAACCTGTGAATAGATTTGCACTTCTAGCGGCACGGGAACGGTAGTAAATATGTAGTTACGAACTCCCCACCGTTCTATAATATTCGTCGCTCCAGTTACAGTTCGGGTTCACAATATATCTTCTGGTTGAAAATTTGAACTGTATGGCGAGGGATGAGAAGCATTATCAATATAACAACCAGTTGAAAGGAGCTGGAGTACCACAAGTTACGTGCTAAGTGGAAGAAGACTACAATCCGTTTATAGACAAGTTGATTATAGTGATCTTTCGGCAAAAGCATGGCCAACGGGACGACAAGTAGAATTTCGATGTTCATCATTTGACCCAGAGGAAAAACATGCTCAACTAAACTTGACTACTGTTCGAAAGGTATATGCCATGGAGTGCACGTGTGACGGAGTGCTGAGATGCTTTTTCAGGCGCATCAAAGACATGTAATTTCATTCCAGTAATCTACGCTACCTCTGGGGAAAAGCCCGGGAGTCCGAATCGTGTCTTGTTCAATAAAGAAAGCGATCTGCGGTGAGCATGCCAGTTCGCATATCATACTGTGATCATGATGACTTTGCGCAAAAAAAAATACGTCTATTGGTATATGTATATAGCCACGGGCCATTATCATTGAATGACCGTGCCAACCACGCCCACATGTACGGTTATCTTCTGCACATGCTTGCTGATCTACAGTTGCAATACAATCATAAGTATACCGTGTGTTATAGAGGCATGTTACTCACGGTAAGGTTACGACCTTTCCATTGTCACATCGGATTGCGACCATTTGCGTACCCTGTAATATGTTAGTCGAAGAGTTCAAAGAATAATACCTTACTCACATCCGCCAATCGATTGGTGTATTCAACAATGCCTCTAACGACTTGACCTGTGGAATCGTAGAAATAAACGGGTGAGCCGACCTGCATAAATGATGCATATTGTGAATATGCCATGGAGATATATCGAGAAACAAACTGT